CATGGGAATCTGACAAGGACTTAATCCCTGGGCTAACGGAACATTGCGATGAACTTTACGTTTGACTCTATGCAGCTAAGATGGGCATGGAAGCTGAATTTGACGCTGAGTTCAGACAAAATAGTGACAACTCCGGTTCATTTAACTTCATTTACTATTAAGTAAAACCTAGTAAAATAAATGAACAACATAAAATAGCGGGGTGTAAAACCGGTTGTCACAAGTCTGGGGTTGCACATGAGCACACTGCCCTTAAGCAACATGAAAAATAACCATTGGCGCATTCAGTCTCCATATTGGCTTGAATAGATTGCCAAAACTTAGTATGGCATACTAGAACTCCTTAAAATCAGATGTTTGTTTCAAACAGATGTAATGATTGGAAACAGCATAGACAGTTTCTTAGGCGGCAACCCTCATAGGGCGAATGGATCTCGTCTTGGAGAAGGACTAAAGTTGACAGTGCAAAATTCGCACCCATAAGCAAATGCATTTCCTGGGAAATTAAGAATGCATCTAGACGATACATCGTTCATGAGTATTAGGCGATTAATCTTGAGGTAGGCTCCGTTCAAAATCAAACCTGATTTTTACTCGTTCATCGTTTGAACAGGTGAAAACAATTTTGTGATGGGTTTGAAACGCCTGACAGTTTCAGAGTATAAAGGAACGTTCTCCAGCGAACTTCGCTAGGAACTTTTAACACAGAATCCGTCGCAGATTATATTTTTGTTTTAAACTGGATAACAGTACATCTGGATTCAAATGTATACATTTCACCAACAGGGAGACTTATAGCTGACAAAAACTTGCTTTTTTTTTACTGGTATTTAGGCTAGTCAAATCTGGGATTTTGAAGCACAGAAATACCGCGTAAAATTATATCGAGAAACAAAACAATCCCCGCTGCGAACCACCAGAGCTTGAATCATCGAAGTAAGTTGCTAGCCGGTTGTATGGCAAACACGTTTAACTACCGCAACGGAACGGCATGAATGAACCAGGTAGTTGTAGTTCATGGGCAATAACTCTACCACAGCAATCCCACAGCACGCACCATCTTTCAGTATGACAATCCTTGATGCAAGAAAGCCGAATTAGTTAGGGTGGTTACTTTATTTTCTCTAAACGCTGTGACTTTCAGGTGGATTATGGCAGTGCAATGAGGTCTCGCGGTATTTCTTGTTTCTACATGCATAGACTGAGAAGCGAATCTGTTCGTGATTCCATCCACCTTTTAACTCGACGGCCACATGGATGTGATAGACTCATTCAGAGCTGAGTACTGCTTGTTTTTTTCGACTGGTTTGAGAGAACTTCGTTCCATGACAATTGTCCTGTGGCTTGATCATAACTGGACACAAGGCAAAGCCTGATGTGATGCCGCGAGTGTGCAGCGGATTGCAGATTTACCATGGGAACATGAAGTTAGCAACCTTGAAGAACAAAATCGGTTTGGGATAACCAATCAGCTTTTTGTCCAGCTGATGAGTTGATTCGGTTACACAAATGACGCGAGCGCGGTCATATGTTCCCTGTGTCAGGTCTCTGACCATGTCCATTTTGCTGAAGGACATCCTGACTGGGCAACGCATGACCTGGTGAGGCAAGATGAACACTATAACAACGGTGCTTAGCTGCACTAGTGCACGTGTTCTATAATGTTCAGGTATCAGAGGATCATCGCAACAATGTTCAAAGATACTCACCGACACGATCGTTTCAATCAACCGGTGATGCTACTGTATCGACCCTGGTTATCAATCAATCAATTAATTCGCTGTTCTCTTGTTTGTTTGTTTTCTATTACCCTCTGATCCAGCCACCTGTGCGATTGGAACTTCCGTACGTAAGCACAGGTAGTGAGCTCTGTAGTGAGCGACACGTGTAACTATATCAAAACAGAGGTTAGTCGTGATCCAGTCCGTTCTTAGCACTCACCAGATTGTCCTGTGGCTTGACCATAATTGGACGGATGACGTACACAAGGCAAAGCCTGATGTGATGCCGCGAGTGTGCAGCGGATTGCAGATCTACCATGGGAACATGAAGTTAGCAACCTTGAAGAACAAAATCGGTTTGGGATAACCAATCAGCTTTTTGTCCAGCTGATGAGCTGATTCGGTTACACAAATGACGCGAGCGCGGTCATATGTTCCCTGTGTCAGGTCTCTGACCATGTCCATTTTGCTGAAGGACATCCTGACTGGGCAACGCATGACCTGGTGAGGCAAGATGAACACTATAACAACGGTGCTTAGCTGCACTAGTGCACGTGTTCTATAATGTTCAGGTATCAGAGGATCATCGCAACAATGTTCAAAGATACTCACCGACACGATCGTTTCAATCAACCGGTGATGCTACTGTATCGACCCTGGTTATCAATCAATCAATTAATTCGCTGTTCTCTTGTTTGTTTGTTTTCTATTACCCTCTGATCCAGCCACCTGTGCGATTGGAACTTCCGTACGTAAGCACAGGTAGTGAGCTCTGTAGTGAGCGACACGTGTAACTATATCAAAACAGAGGTTAGTCGTGATCCAGTCCGTTCTTAGCACTCACCAAGTAATCGAATATTTTGCTGACTTGTACTCCTGCTAGCCTGTTAGCATGCGCTTGTGGTAATGTGATTGTGAAACGAGAACCGCAAAGCAGTTTACACCATATAACAAAATGGAGGAAGGATAACCAATATTACCGTCCCTGTTTGAGCACGTTGTTTCCTTCAGTCGTGTTTCGTAGGGGTAGCCTTATTGATACATACACATGCAATATGCATTATACTACAAGAGAATATGCGAAAAGCCGAAAAATATCAGGGAAAGGAAAATGAGCACAGACCGGTTTTCGTAAATGTTTGATAACTCACAGTCCAGCAAGTTGCCACCTGCCAAAAGATCTATCCAGGTAGCACATTTCAAGATGTCCCGTTTTCAGAAATATCTAAATTTCCCTGTAGTGTGATGCAAGCTTTCCAAGACAATTAACCGACCATTAAAAATGGCGATTTCCTTTTTTACCACCACGTTTTTCGTTGCTAAGAAAGTAGACGAAGATCACGGTCTTTGTTCCAAAGGAGGCTACACTAGGAGACAATAAAAGATGTACATATGAAAAGAATTTCCAGCGTCACCAGTTACTCCTGATTAAAGCATCCGAATTCGGACAATAAACTAGACTACTCTACAAATATTCCAGGGGGGTTTGGTAAACAATTGATGGATTTATTCACGGGCAACGCTTCGCTTTTGACAAAAAACTTTCTCAGATAAAGTTGACCGACATTTGAGGCAGACGAAGAACCAGTCAGTGCGGTCTGTTTGAGCCAACCGAATAAATCAGCTTTGGATGTTGGACGAGTTCTTACTGGCTGGTGTGGATGAGTGCCAATTACAACACCGAGGAAAGGAGAAAACTAGAATCAATTCAAGCCGGTTTAGGAAACTGTAATGAAATAGTGCCCCTGCTACAAATTTTGTTGATCTTTGGGGTTTGCGAATTTTTAAGACAGAGTTGAGTTGGGCAGCTTAGGCTCTTAAGATCAGACCCAGGCGTTTTCACTGATAACCACACACCGCCATGTGGCAACCCGAGTCACCTAAAACCGGTCTCCATACGCCTTGCACTTCTATACCCTCTACTCTTTTCACACGGGAATGTTTGGTGATTTCCAAAGCTTCGGTCATCAGTCGCCCTGGTTTGAACCCTGGTTCGTGTTGCTAGATTCTTAGATATTCCAAATTCATTGTGTCCAGTAAATCTCCACTGATTGTTGCCTCTAGATATCACATAAAATTCAGCTGTATTTCTTGGTCTTTTTGTACGCTGCTTTACTCACCGATTGTCGTGCGCAACTCCCCGGTTGTTTCGTGCGGTCATACTGTATTGCATTTTCAAAACACAACCCTATCCTATCAAACACGAGGCGATCCTTCAATCGCACCAATAATGAGTGTAAAGTTTTGCACTTCTAGAATGCTAGTTTGGTGTCAAACATATACAGCAACCTTTTATTGACTTAAAAAGCCAGTTTTGTTTGAGGTGACTACTCTTCTGACTCACCGTTGTTTGTTGCTGCTGAGCCCAACACACGCCTTAGCTTCCGCGCGTGAATTGATTACTTATTGATTCAATCAATCAGATATCTCTTTCCTTGAATTATCTTTCTTACTTGAATTAGTGTCGCTGTTCGGACGATCTCTTCGGTGCGCAACGATCCTACTGCCATAGAAAATGTGGAAGTCTGGTCATTAGGAGGGCCACAACTGAATCTCATTTGTGATATTCTTCCCTCATTAATGTCAGCACAATTTGCGGATGGGTGAACTTTAACAAATGCTTGCAGTTCGGTGTGTCCGTGTAGAACAGCCGCCCGTGGCCAAATCAGATTCTGGGTCCAAAACTCCCCGGAGTTTTGTGATGCGCAGATGATTCCCAATAAGGGCGATGCAGTGTTTTCAGACTTTCTCAGCATACTTTAACCTCGTAAAACGAAATTTTCGCGAAAAATTATCGAACCCCTTTACACTAGAGCACCGTGGAGCACCCCTGAGCGTTCCGACACTCAACTACTTTTACCCTGTATAACTCACCCATGAAGGCAGTATGCCAGAGTGTGACCACTACGGCATAAAAACAACCATTTGAGGTGACAGATGTGCAGAGATATTCACTAGCCAGATGTGTCATCCCCTCCATGATATGCCGGGTAAATGATCATGATATCCTCTAGGGACTGTTATCCGTTGAGTTTGATTACCTTTTCAAACGTTTCTTATCACCAACTGACTCACCTTAAGGTTGGACCAGATGTATAGTCTTCCCCTATCCATCTCTGTATATTTCCAATAGGCAAAAGTGCTAAAAAGATTAAGATGGGCAAGCATTTGGTTAGGCCTAGAACGAGAACTCACAAACCTAAAAGGTGATGAAAACCCCGGCGCTTACGATCCCATCCGGTTTGTAAAAGAGGGCCAGACGTCTCAGAGGGTTATAAAATTCGGTAGAATAAACAAAGTATTTGACGAAATATTACGAAAAAAAGGTGTTTTACGTAAAGAACAACAAACGGGGTAGAATATCAAAGTGATTATGGTGATAATAATAATCGAAGGTGATAAGTGAAATCGTGTGTGGCTATGTACAAATGTGTGTGCGAAAATAAATATGCTCAAATTATTTTGTGTACTGGATGATTGAAACAACATGGGATGGAGGAATAAAGTCTGATCAGTGAATATATGTACATGTTTTACGAATGAGTGGACTTCTAGGGCGGATTAGAAAGCTGCCTGAAGGATGAATCAGTTGGAAAAACAAACGATTGGATATGAGTGTGGGGTGGAATTGATGGTACGGATTGAAGCTGACAAAATCGGTCGGAGAGCAGGCCTATAAAGGCAATAGAGGAAGTCTGTCATCCGAGAGCTTCACCCACAGAAGTAATAAGAGAGAATTTGACTGAGAACTCCCATAGATGGTCTGGAAACCAAAGGATCAAAATAGGTCTTGCATCTCATCTTCAAAGTCATCCGCGGATAATGGGTCACTGTTGGAAAAGAAAGGGGATATTGAAATTACAAGGACACAAATGGACAAAAATGGAGAACCAAAAGTGTTTTTCTACATCGGAGTTGTGAGAGTACTCTTCAAGTAATAAGCTGACAATAGGAAAATGTGTGCCCCTCACTGCACCACATAACTCCATCATTATTGTTCGTCACGAAAAAGTTTCGGAGAAATTTTTCTACAACGATGAATTACCTTGTTCGTTGTTCAACACATCATTGGGGTTTTGTAAGAACATAGAATTGTACCAGTAAAGACATAACTCGACACTCACCGCCCTTTCACTTACCGTCTAATGACATCTCCATAGTACAGTACTCACCTTCATTACAACCTCGCAAATGACAAACGAGTCCGGTCGCATTAAAGATGGCGGCAATATCAAGGGACTCATGAAAGTCAAGCAGTCATACGGTCATAAAACAGAAGGAGCCGTTAGATGATGGGGTCGCTTTATACGGAGAGTACTTTGACAGCGGAAATGTTTCTAGTCGGCCAACAACAGTAAAAAATGGTTCAGCTGTAACACCTTTTAGGTGCCTAGCTGCGATGCCACCTAAAGGAAGCACGATGGCCGGGGTACTGCCAGGTTGCCTAAGCCTAGACAGGGGAAGTCGAGAAGCAGAAGTCGGGTTCGAACCACGGACCTTCCGGTCAGTAAATTCGCGCTCTAACCACTCGGGCCATCTCGCCCCAAAGGGCAGATAAATGAAAGCCAAGACAAAGATCCGGAATTCGACCCGTCTGACCGGACGGGTTCACATAAATCTGCACCCAGTCGACGGATAGAACCGCCAACGTGCCTTAGTAGTGGTGATGCTAGTAACCTCTATCCACATCAACTCAGTGTTCCGAAGCGACCATGGGAACTTGGCATGGCGTTCCTTCCTTCTTCCATTTGATCCTTATTCTCGCACTAGGACGTTTTAAACAAAAACGAATAGTTGGACGGATGAGTTGGTCAATACTGACATGATCAGCGATGAAAATGAGGTAGCCGCCAAGCTACATAAAGTGGAAACGAAAGCCATTTCTCGCGTGGAAAGTAGGATAATAAGAGTACACGAATAATTTGCCAGGATTTAAAGATAAAAACCAAACTGTTTCAAAGCCTTGATTTCTGGTATGCGAAATGTTCAAGGTCTCAACTTTGGGTATACTTTAGAAATGCAAAGCGCTTGAGCGATAATACAACCATCCACTGTACCCCGTAGTAGCCTTGGTCGATCGTTGTGACTTGGCTACAACTTAGCATTGTTCAGAGGTTATCAAGGCTCTGATTCCTATATTCAGATGTTGCAACGAGTGGACAGGAGGGTGAGACATAAGAACAAGAAAATGTAGTGAGTCATGCTTCTCGAAAAACTAACAACTGCCATCTATTTCGTCTCATTAGTGCTATACTCCCAGTCTCCGCTAGAATGACCTCTGTGCAGTACACTAACAACGAGTAAATGGAAGTGCCGACCTCTGCAACACCAAAGCGGAATTTTCGGCCGCTCAGGAACAGGATCGGCAGTGTTAAGCACAGTCTTCCCGTAAGTGGATGTTGAATGGAAAAGTCTTAGTTCGCTTTAATCTACCCATCTTTAACGTGTTTCACTGACAAGAAATTGGAAGAACGAAAAATCGTATCCAAGTGTGGCGAGATACGTAACGCGCAAGTATGGACACTAACAAATCGGTGATCAGTGTCATCCGTTTTACTTGTACGGGCGATTTACTCTCAAGCAACAAATTGGGCAATCAAGACTATTCCTCACCGTAAATTGAGAAGGCGATTCAGACTGACGAACTGATAAGCGGTTAGCAACCATTGATCCGATTGACCCTAGTGCTCACCCGAAAATTGGTAAATCTTGCTCTAATGTATAAAAATTGAAACGGGTTTGAGGCTGTGTAGATGCTGCTGAGGTCCCGTGATGTACCAAAAACAAGTATACAGGCTACAACCTATTGATTCAATAGAAAGCAGATGCTGAAATCATATTTGTAAGACGGACTTGACTCTGGTAATTTCGCATTGCTGTTTCTTCTGCGAGGGTGTTCTTTCGTATATATCACCTAGTAACAAGCATAGGATGCCGCTAGTTGGACCACCGGGCTGCAGCAAAATAGTTGGAGTTTACTTAAATTCCTGTGTCAGTCTCGATACTGTGCAAGAGCGGTGTTGAGGAAGCCAAATAATTCATTCAAGAAGCATACAAGTTTCGGTACAGGACAACAGTGAGTTGAAATTTTGACAAATTTATCGAGAAAAGTTTGAAAACATTGGTGATTTTCCGACCATATCTCGGAACGAGGTCATAAAGCCATAGGTTGAACCAAGTGGGCGGTCGTTATCTATAAAAAAAAAACTGAATAAGCGAAAAATTGAGTGCCGAATTTTTCGATCCTTATGAATCATTTTTACAGCACATCCACAAGTAATGCATAATTTCCCGGTGCGGAAACGCTGGGGAGAACTTCAACCTCTAACAGACCAAGTCAGCTCTGGTTTTATTCGGTCTCGTCTGCCTGACTTTTGTGGGTGTCCCAGAAACAAAGAATACTATCGATAATTACGCTGAAAATGCCGGTTTTTACGTTTGGTCAGAGCAGAAGAACCAAACGCGAAGCTAGAAAAGTTTTACTGTACAGTTGTAATGTGATTTCATCAAAAGAATGACGTGGTGAAACTTAGATCACGTTATCTGTTTCTGTTTTTCAGTCATTTCATTTACATATTACCAACACCAAACATGCAAATCCCGCACGGTAATCTGTGAATTACACAACTCGGTTGACTGAATCCTTACATCGATGGCGCTTGGAATACTCAAGGAATGACGCTAACTCATGGTTACCTTGATGGTCGGTGCTACCGTTAGGCTGCTCTGACACAGTTCACAAAACTGTAAGGCTGAAGCCCACACAAGTGTCTCCACATGTTAGGCATTTCGTGTATTAGACATTGTACACTGGCATCAATGAGTAGGAAAATGATATTTGGGTGTGCATTCAGAGTGAGGAATGCGAACAGCAGCATTTTTGTATTCGGCTAGAGACGGTACGGTGTATGATAGCTAATCGATCTCATCGGTATTGTCACCTTCTATCCAGATTGTGTGGGTGATCGTATGCGTACCTCATAAATATTGTAGTGAGCTGAATACCCTATGCTCAAGTTAAATTATGATAGCTAATCGATCGCATCGGTATTCTGTCACCTTCTATCCAGATTGTGTAGGTGATCGTATGCGTACCTCATAAATGTTGTGGTGAGCTGAATACCCTATGCTCAAGTTAAATCCAAGTAAAATAGGATACGCTTTTTACGAGGGGGGCTACAATGGGAAAAAGGTTGTTTGAGCTTTCGAAGGTGTTTTCCTGGATGGGGCGATATACGAGGTTGGGACCGACGGAAACTCCTCAAGAAGGCTGTTGCATCATAGATGGGATAGAGTGACGTGTCGGTTCTTCAATACAGACGTTGCTCGATTATGAACAGTTTCGAGGTTGGTTGAGTTCCCGTGTACACTATTCTCAACGTCGGGATCGCCATAGAAGAGCGAAAAATGAACAAACTTCGTGTCTAACCGAAGAAATGAAAATTGTTTAACAGACTCCAAATTGCTGTCGGGCTAACTGACCGGGCAGCCCGAACTGCCGATCCCACCGACCAATACAACACGACAGTCGAGCAAAAAATCGCAGCGCTCGAGTGTAGACTGTTTGCCCACTTGGACGTGATGATTCAAGTGCACATAAAGAACGCTGGTGGAACAGTTGTAACACGCTTGAGTCGTATGCCAGATGACTGGAACGCAGGCCCTGGGAGGACGAGGAATAGACACTACCGATGTGCTCTAATAAGAACGGAATCAAGTCTCACATCTTTCCCCCGATTCGCCGTGGAGCGGCGAGAGAAACAGCATCGAGATGGCTGTGACTGTCACCCCTGATGAGAAGAAATGAACGCAATTTTTTCGACAGACAGGCGAAAATACCCCGAAGCATTTTTCCCAAGGAACAAACTGTAGTCAAGTAGGTAAAGACTAGTAGGTTGACTATAACATCCTGGTCGCCCTCTTCCATGGGGTTAGAAAGTGCGGGGACATGAACCGAGGAGGGGTGATTTACGTCTCAAACAGTCTTTTTTCGTGTACCCTGCCGGCTCAAACATCAAACTCATGCAGAATGTTCGAGTGCGCGGAAACTAGACAGTGATGACTGTCGTTTTCTGCTCGCTGTGCATACAAGCCATCGTGCGGGGCGTGTACACGGATTCACACCGTTCACAACCCTGGAATGAGTAAACCTTTCTGACAAATCGTCATGCACAAAACAGAGTGAAGGGCAGACTTCACACAAAGGCAGCTAGCTGGCTTTCCAGAGTTAGACAACGTGTGATTTCATTATAAAATGACTGTTAGTACATGAAGCGATTAATCCGACCTACACAGCGTTTAACCTAGCACAACGTGTAGACGACTGTGCCAGTCAATCAGGCAGCTGTTGCACAGTCGCCGTGGTAGCGATGACAACTCTACAATCTACTAGTTAAAAGTGTGGGATCCCACTAGTGTGGGATAAATGCATTTCCACTTCCAACAGTAAAACTACAGTGTGGGATAAATGCATTTCCACTTCCAATATGGTTTCACTCAGATGTGGCAACCTTTCAGTGTACAACAGCAAGAAAACCGAGGGGGGCCTGATGGCCACGTAGGAAAATCACGAAAGCTTGCTTAGGTTAATGGCGCCCGCCTTAACTTTGGGACCACCTTAATAAGGCTTATGAATGCGAATGTCAGCCCCTGGTTTCTGCAATATTAGGTCGATGTTTCACTACCAGTACTCATTTGACCCAGATGGACCAGTCCACACTGTGCCTTCGCTTGGATCAAAGCTGGGAGATTGTGTGTATGAATCATTAAAAACGGGAGTGGGGAAATGAAAGACTTACTTCAGCACCCGTAAGGAGAAAAACAATACTCGTCGAAGGGACTTGTTGTGGAAGAAATAGTTGAATGACGCTAAACAGCCTGAGCTGTATGGGTCGGATAGATGATCGGGCCGGTAGCTGAATAAAGAGAGGAGGACATGAACAAACAGGCAAGTAATTTGGAACCTGATTAACATTTGTTCACAGAAAACCCCACAAGTCCCGCGGCACTTTTCTCAGGGTCTACTAGTGTTACTATACTTATTCATATTTAGCCAGAGCACATCAAACATACCTGCATGGATTACGGTATAAAACGTGCAGGGGTAACGTCGGCACTTTGCATTCAACCACTGCCAGAAATATAGCGTACGGTATACGAGTCACCTTTATATCCCGTTCTAAGGATGAATTTCCAGTGTTTTGCCGATAGTGGAACACAATCCCAGACTTCACTTTCAAAGAGATGTGAGCCTAGATGAGAAGCAAGATGTTTCGTCGAGTCGCGTTCAGCCACCAGCGCTTTTTCACTGAGAAAACAAAAGTTCGGTCTAATTGAGATTTCGTCCTGTCTGTGAAGCTAATCTACGCTGAAAAGCCAAGAAGCAGGGTACACCCCACGAAACGCCAGTAAGTTCCGAGGTTGCGACCTTCCAGTTAGTAACTTGAGCACATATTCGTTCAGCCACGAGTGGATTAGTAGCGTGACTAACTCCCACTTGAACAGGAAAGCGTCACTCAGTCACATCAAGTGGCCCGTCGAGTAACGACTTCCCAGATAAGAGTTTCACTCGTCTTGTGAATCATCAGAAGAGAGTTTCCAATAGGGACGAAACAGCTGTACAACGCTTCTCGGCTTTTCAACGTAGATTGGCTTGACTTGCAGGACGAAGTCCCCACTGTACCAAATCTCCCCATACCACCATCAAAAGTTTAGTTGCCTGCACGTTTTCGCAGTATGCTATGAACACGATGGAAATGTTTACTTAAATAATACTGAGTACTATCCTGAAGAACATATAGCACCGGGACAGGCAAATACCGCGCTTTTTAGGGTTATTCGCTCACTGTGTGGGATACAAGCGCTCAGGTGTGCTGCAGCAGTGCAGTTTTGCTACACCAGATGATGTGGGGAAAGAATAAAACTGAATATACTTATAATCGAGGATGGGTAATAGAGGAACAGACCATCACCCATACAACTTATTGAACGATGCAACAAATATGGATGAAAAGATATAGAGCGGTCTTAGCGTAAGCTATTGCTTGATTGGTTGTGGTTCTCACGATTGACTACGCTTCGGTTTCCAATCACGCGTACTGGTCCGTTTCTCACACGTTTGTCTCGTTGTCTGGAAAACGGATTGGGTTTCAGCTGTCTACACTTCAAAGCAAACATTCTATGAAACTAGAGAGATAGGTCAGCCATCCGATTAGTAGAGCCTGTCATCTGGAAGCCGCGAATTTCAAAACAGACCATGTATTATCGACGATAGCGGCGTTTTCTAGCCTCCCTGAACAAGAACATACATCAAAGACAGTCTAGTTCAGTTCAAGTTTTCGGTGGTGGCCCACAAAACAAACAAATCCAAATAAACCTATCCGAACGCCTTTGTGCATGCGGAAGCATCGTAAAATATGTCTCATAGGCTAATTCAATGGGTTAGATAACCCTTCCTTTCTCGATTGTGTTTTGATCGTCAAACTCTCCTCATGTTGTTTCAGCGGTATTAAGCAGCATTGTCCGTCTACGTGAACATTCAAAGCTGTAGTCGTCATTGCTCTACAGTGTATGAGCGGCCAGACCGTTTTCTTTCCGAAAAACAGTGGGGTAATTTGGGACTGAGCCGTTTTGTTTCCCTTGGAATTAGTGGAGACTCCACTTTATTCAGCATCCTCTAAGAAACATATGTACATCAACACGGTTCAGGAAGAGCTCAACCAGTCATACTCAGATAAGTAGCGCCGATGTTGCCTATAACGACAAACACAACTGCCGCGATAAGGCTTTATTCAAATAAACTGAGATGACGGATCGCCAGTATTCTCCTATACTGTTGTTATCGGTGATGATGATATATTTATCGATCGACCGGCCGTGCGTGCTTTGCGGTTTCAGAGTCTTTATTCAGCACTGCAACTATGTTCCAAAAATGCTAATTAGCTCGTGGTTGATGTCATGGGATGGTGTGGAAACGTGGTTAGTGTCATCGGCCGTATGACACGATAGTCAATCAATTAATCTGATTCCGCGTGATGTTTTTCTCGGTAAGTGAAGCCACCAGACATTTACGGAGTCAAATATTTTTGCATGATTCTCGAGGGACATTTCTTCATGAGAGAATTGTAGCGGTAAAAGCCCGTGCTGAAAAATTTCCCCTCTAGGGTAACATTCGCATAGGAGTAGCATATTTCAGTCTGTGCGGCTGTTGCGCACAATCAGGCCGAAGAATCTTACTTAAACCGAACGCTGTTCACGGAAGCCAAGAAGACAGTTGAAACTGAGGAAAGCTGAGGAAATTTAACAACCCAGAGATGATGTTTATTTTACATCTGCGGCGTCTATTTAACTGTCTGTAGCGTCACGGGGGGTTTTGGGAGAGAAGACACTTGCCAAGACCTTGTCTGATTCTCCATCTAAATGAGATTTACTGGGTGATCACCCGTACAAGTGTAGAGTGAATTCGGCTAGAGAGTACAATTAACACGATGGGACTTCCTATGCACAATCCAGTTCGTGATCTTCACTCCAGAAGTCTTTTTCGGGCTTTTTGGACTGACTGATCATTGGAAGATTGACTGTTTGTTGCTACAGACGGTCGGGAGTTTCAGTTAGTAGGTGAGGCGCGCAAATTCTTAAAGAGACAAAACCAAGATCAAACACATGACAGATGCATCGACATTTTGACTAAAGTTACCGGTTCGTTTCAATCAGTGGGTGCGTATCTGAGATAATGAACCATAGTTTCCCCCGTTCAAGGAAACCTAGCGCGGAAGGATTGGAATCAAAACGGATCCCATCGTGACTCGACGCAAAATACGACAATGTTTCCGCTTAAGTCAGTACCCAGGCATACCAATCGGTTGGTTGATTATCGATTGTCCCCTGAAGCAGGCCTCAGAGCCGTGATCTTAAGCCAACAAAGCAAAACGTCACGTGGCAATCCACGTGACGTTAAAGTTCGTGGAATAACTTGTGGATAAGATGTCCGGTATTCATCTGATGCAACGAGTCTGACCTACCACATCCGACCAACAGAAATCACCATACCTAATTGTAGGAGGCACAACGATATTGTGGATTTTGTCCTTAAATAATAGTTCATGTGGATTTTTGCAGTCGCACCTATAAGGCAGGGCAAGCCACATAACCTGTAGAGTTAGTTCACCGGATAGCTGATAAAGTCCTCAGTTCTTGCCATGAAAATTGGATGAAAAAATCCTTCTGGTCTGTGTCTTATTCCGTACACTGCTTGGGTGCATGTGACCTTCCGACAAAATTACATACTTTCTTGGAACTACTTGATGCGCTACGCAATACAGTATTGAATGTTTTTTCGGTGTATTTTTACTGGAACTTCTCAAGCAAATCAGGAGTGCCTTGACAAGTTACTGAAACTTTCACATACTGCAGTGGTCAGCTATGGAGTAGGGAAAATCAGTCATTAGGGAGATTATCCGCTGAAGCTCAAACGGACAGAACAGATCCCTACACATATTGAGGATGAGCTGATACAGTTGACTAAAAGTGTCAAACCATTCTTGGCGTCCCCGTTTCGTACGGCGTAATCACGCAGTCACGTGCACAATGCAAAGATACATACAAAAGCACATGCACTCCTCAAACCATGTTCACTGGAGAGCCGTCATGAAAGAATGGCATTTTTAGAACTTATTTACTGGTAGACGGATTACAGACGGAACAGAGTGTTGACAGAGCATGCCTACATAAGAAACAACCGTCAAAGTGAAGGGCCGATCTCCAATCCTGAGATAAACAGAGCTTCCTTAAAATGGGATCATAACATGCTGCTTAGAAGTTGTCCAGCTTTAGTACCCTCTAGGTTCCTAGCTGTCACGCCACCTGAAGGAAGCACGAGGGCCTGGATGATGTCAGGCTCCCCGAGCAGTCAAAATGTAGAGGTCAGTTCGAAGCACGGACCATCCAGTCGGTGAGTTTGCGCCTTAACCATTGAGCCATCTTGAGCTCATGCTGTTTTGAAACATGTAGAGGTCAGTTCGAACCACGGACCATCCAGTCGGTGAGTTTGCGCCTTAACCATTGAGCCATCTTGAGCTCATGCTGTTTTGAAACGACATTTGAACAGAGGACAAAAAAGGAGCATGCAACCGCCTAGCGGAGGCATGCTGTCAACCTGAAGAGACAAGACATTCTAGGTTGAGAAGGAGTACCATAAGAAAAAGCTTACCTGTAGATTAGACATTGACTAGGGACGATCTCGTCTTCGATAGTTTTCCAAAGTTCAGGGGAGATTTCTTCGTATTTGTCAACATAGACGGAGCAAAACTGAGAAATGTAATGTTTCACAACCTGCAGCCGACGAAGAAGCAGCGATTATTTGGTTGAAATTAAGTGCATAAATCAAATTGAACACGGCTGCGAAAGGTGGTACACTCCAAATTCAAAGGAAGGACGGTTGCCTGAAATCTACACAGTTTAACTGCATAGAACACCACTCAGCGATAGAAATAAAACCCACTCTACTCACAGTGGAGTCAAGTTGGAAAAAGGCGTACTAAGACAAACGGAGGCAGTAAGCACGCATCGAACGCCCCCAGATGAGTTTGACGGACAGTTGTCGCCTACAGATGCGACGCAACAAAGTAATTGTCGCTGACGTTAGTTTAAACAAAATGAAGTGAGGGACTAAGGTGGAATATGAAATTGGACGGCAGACAATGTTCCATCATCAGGGAATGAAAGATAATTCCGGTGATATAGAAACCTTTACATAACCACGAACAAGCATGGAAAGTTCGAAACGGAAAGAGTCGAGAACTAAACTTCAATTGTAGCGCATTGCGCTTACAGAATCAACCTTCATATTTCTAACTGAGAGCCGCGATCGCCGCCGATTCAGAAAAGCAGGAGGGTAATGTAGGCCGTCTGGCACTAAGTAACTAGCTTTAAATCAAAAAACGGCCAATAATATGGAATACCAACGCGAACAGATGTCAGAAGATCAGTTGCCTGGCTAGAGACACAATCAATAGCAACAATTCCGATACGGTGAGATGTACCTGTGCACGCGACTATAGAAAGAGAAAGTTAATTAGCTTGGAATCAGTGCTAGAACAGATGACAGCCTAAATGAAAACTGTGGGGACAAATGAGGTTAATTAGCAGATCAGGATGAGTAAGTTACGTATGCGAACCCGTCGCTGCTACTGAGATCAAGGTAATGCCGCCAGTCCATTTGGAAAGACCGTGGCAGGACGGACGTACTTCAATGAGCTCAGCTAGATCTTAAGCTCAAGGGAATGAAGTAAAGGCCTTTACTTCATGACGAACCAGGAGTCCCATTAACAGGAGAGGAACTCAATCTAGAGGACTATCTGCCTCGCAGAGCTCTCTCAAAGCCTTGTACTGGGTGGAAGCGACCGAGAGGTGGACAGTGCATGATCTGACGACGGCCGCCTACCTTAATGAGGACCTCAACTCATCAATGGTTAATGACACTGGTAAGACTGACCCAACCGCACAGTCAGTGGCGCTCATGCATCAAAGTTATCGCCTTCGATGAGTAGCTACCCAGTTCTCGAACCAACCGAAAACGCTATCGCCTCCAATGCTTGGCTCCCACGCTCTCCCACTTTCCGAAGATCGAAATTGTAGAAGCCAGTACTAATGTTACACATTTACAGCGGATACATTGATCGAAAAATTGAAATTCATTACAAGAGAAAATCGCCTCTTATTGTGAGCAGATTGCAAGCGACTTCAGAAAGATTATTGCATCCCGGAATTCAGCTGAATCTCTGGGTTTTGATGCTTCCAGGCAACTGAATGTGTTGCACCAGGCCGTCTCACGTTTCACTCGCTACGATATTCGAGATATCGCTGTACATATATATTTTGTAATGCGCTACTCATAAGGTTGCTGAATATCGAATATCGTAGCGTCTGAAACACGATATGGCCTGGTGCAGCACATTCGGTTGCCTGGAAACATCAAAACCGAGAGATTCAGCTGAGTTCCAGGTGAGTCCAAATTCCAAATTCGTTTGCAAATGAGTGTATATTCGCTAATTTCGTGCAATTTGGTTTCAAGTAGAACATAAGGTTGACGGAAACTCGGGGACTGCGCCTACCTGATGAGTCCCAAGAAGGGCGAAACCGATCGTGGGCTCGCGAGGAGTTCTCAGCAACCTTATGAGTAGTGCATTACAAAACTATTGCACCCCATTTATCCGAGAACATAATGTCCGGCTCCCTGTAATTATCGGATTGTATGTGAGAATCAGATAAGATAAGCAACCTTCGTACCCACATACGGAAAAGTGGTCCACTCAAGTAACACAGGGTAAATCTTACTGATGCAGAAATGCAACATATATATTGCCAGACAGTGAGGATTTGCAAAAATGAGGGCCGCCCAGATAAGATAAGTAACCTTCGTACCCACATTAGGAAAAGTGGTCCACTCAAGTAACACGATAACAGGGTAAATCTTACTGATGCATAAATGCAACATGTATGTTGGCAAACAGTGAGGATTTGCAAAAATGAGGGCCGCGGCTATCTCTTAAGTGAAAATTTCGGTACCAGCAGGTCAACCCGCCCGGGTCCAGGTGTGATGGGCATAGGCCAAGAAACCTGCCTAGCAGGAAGAACACAGAGGTCACGTGCTACACTGGCAACCTTCGCAACCAAACATTGCCCTTGTGTCAACGATCCTAACAATAAATAGCAATTTCAGTGGAGGGGACGAGCGCTTGGGTAGGGAACAAGCTTCAGAATACTGAGGAAAGAGCTGAGTAAGACTCACCCATAACTCTGGCTCTAAGCAGAATTCGTCGCTCCGCGCTGAAAGGAAGTCGTATTCCGGTCCGAAACAGCTGTTCAACGTGCTCATCAAACAAAAAAGGTCTTTGACTGACAGCCCCGATGCAGTGGTCTTATACCGTGTTGGTGATGATGGACTGGCGCCGTCGTCAGAACTTGACGCAGTATTCGAACGTGAACGCTTTTTGGCTGTGGTAGAACCACTATTCGCTGGTAGATGAGCTACCGCCTGTAAGTCAGCAAAAAACAGTCAGTCATCGTTCAGGATGGAAGTATTGGAAGAACGTAACAGGAGCAACAACCTCTCGGTGAGAAACTGCGATAAAATGAGCAGAACGGTCATAATAGGAAAGCCTCGTCTATCCAGCTTGTGAAGCAGGTCAGAGGCTGTTGAACCCAACTTCATTAGCAACCATTTGTAGTATTTTGCAAAATTAATTAATCAAGTACCAGAAAGACCAGCCAGCCAGTAAGTAAGCACTGAGTCCGTCTTATCGATCAGACTGATGGAGTCAGAAAATCAACAGTTCGACTCCAACTTTATCATCTGCTATACCAAAGGTAACCGTTCAAGTTGAGTCACCACTTTTTGTCGTTCTGTGGCAGGCTCCTAGCTTCGGCAAGCAAAGCTTCTTGCGGGAATGTGTCTTCAAAAGTCCACTGAAAACCAGAGCAGGGAAACTTTGAAATAAAGCCATGATTTCAATAGCAAAAGTACGGTACTGAAGGCGTCCATATATACGCAGTTGGGAAAACAGTTCTCTTTGCACGCAGATGATGCCAACATGGCTGTCCTAGGATTCTAAGGAAGATCAGACCACTGCACGTTTACGTGTAGCATCGCGCACGTCAGACACAACTAAATGAACTGCAGTCCAGCGAACAAGCAAAGCCATGAAATGCAAGGATCACCACCACCACTGACATCAGTGCGAGAATAACCTCCTACAGGAGACAATTCGAGTGAGGATGAATGATAATTATGGCCTTTGGATGCACCGTCTGCACAAGCAATACTGCTTGGGGAAACGAGCCAGACAAACCGCGGGTGTTAGTAACATCGGTAAGACAGTGATTAGGGGGAAAGAACGACATAACTGAATGATTAGACTTATTCTGCTGCATTGACACAGTGATTAGGGGGAAAGAACGACATAGCTGAATGATTAGACTTATTCTGCTGCATTGTATACAGTCCATATGCATCCAGGATGAATGTGTAATGTACCGCAAGGTCAGCTGACAAATAGTCGATTGATCCGAGGGAGCGACCAATATGAACTAAATAATGCAAAATCTACCAGTCAGGTGACACAACGCGATTGGATCGGAAAGCATGTGATGGAAGCGTAGTGCTGCGCAACATGTGATTTCGCGGCGATAGAATCGATGCAAAAACTAGTCCGTTGGTGGGAAGCACTGTGCTTCACGACTTCCCTTACAGGACGAAATCTCGAGAAAAACTAGCTCGACGTTCACGACGTTTCCGAACAACCAGTGCAGACTGCAACAAGATATCACCAGCCTAACCGAGCAGTTCTTAATGGCATTGGCTGCTGTCGACACAGTGATAACGACGATACAATAAAATGATCGACTATGAGAAACACTATTCAAGGGCGATAAAAAATCGTTCTGTTTTCGCTATCCAACAAGCAGGACGCAAATATGTATGGAAAACGGAGGCTGGAAAAGACCAGATCCTTTTGTGGTGTTACCGGGATTTTTAAATCTCTCATTCAGATTTAATCCTGCAATTAAAGACAACATATAGTGGAGAATTCGAGAGGCACTGTGCGGTCAGTCCATTCTGGTTGGGAATTACCAAAAATGCAGAACGAATGGAATTCTAGGTAGAGTCCATCAAAAACGTTCTGAGCAGTGGCTGGGTGGTCTCCCCCATAATAATAAAAGCTTTCGGCTAACCTCGTTACATTGGCGCCTGCATAACTGTAAAAATCACATTAAAGCCCCGCCAACGGCACTTCAAGACCAACTGTTAGGCGCAACGACCGTGTGTTACGTAATCATCGAACCAGAGCCGCAAGATTCTACTCCGACCTATCAGTTTCAAGCCCTTAAGAGTAGGAAGGGCCAAGATGTAATTGGGATGATCACAAACAAAAACTACTTACGACCATCTGGTGAAAATCAGGATACAGGCGCAAAAAAGTAACTTAAAAACAGTCTCAACGTAGAAAGACAGGGTAACGGCTAAATCAGCTTGGGAATAGCCTGACAAAAATTCAACGTACTGTCGTAGGTTGTTCTTGGGCATTACTCATCTGATACACCTCAGGATTGACTGCTTGTCCGGTCATTTCCCACAACCCGCGAAGTGTTTGTGACGACCCAAGACGGTGAGATTCTGTGTCTTGCTTGTCTGAGCCAATCCGACTACAAAGTTCCTTGAACTGCCGTTTCTCCTCCGACACCATTTTGCACGAGTAACTTTCAAGTCTAGGAGTTGGGAGACCGTAGCATCCAAGGATGGGAGGTAATGTAAACAGGGTAAATTGGAGATAAGATAGGACGAACAATAGATATCCGAAACTGTAAGTGGACTTGGATGGTAGGACCACGAAAACGTATGCGCATAGAAGGATGAGTGATGAGTCGCCACGAATAACGCGAAGTTACAGTTATCCAATTGGAAAGTAAACAAAAACTGATCAACTTCATGAGGGGGAATCGGGGGAAAACCAGGCTCACCTAGAAGCTTTGGGAACACATTCCGTCGACGTGGGCAACTAGTATAAGTAAACACGGTTTCGAGACAAATAAACACATTGCGCTACAAAATTCAAGGAATTTGAGTTCCGTTCACACTGTGCTGTGGGGTGATAGGTAACCCCATATATTCCAGTAACGAGGCAATTAAAAAGCGACTTTCCGGTTGTGCAACGGGTACTTTCATTGAATAAGGTATTCAACATCAGAAGCTGCGTTGGTTAGGACATGTGTTGCGCATGCCGAACGATCGTTTGCCGAAGACAGTGTTGTTTTCCATACATAACTCAGAGTGGCGGAAGCAGAGAGGCGGTCAAACCTTGACCTGACAGAAGGCTATGAAGGAGATTACGAAACGTTTCAGTGCTGTCAGTGCAACTCTCCTTCAAGGATGGGGACCGCGTGATCCCCACTGTGCCTGGCTGGAGACACTGTAAGATATGGCTGCCAACCGATGTCAGTTGCGTTGTTGTTGTCTGTTTCTATTTAGATTGGCTGAATGAGTGTCGGGAGGTGTAGGCGCCTCGGAATGGTTGTAGTAAGTTGTAGTAAGTAGCACTAAGTCCCTTCCCCACCCACCTTTATTTATTAGTGAAGCATCGGTGTTGAACACTGATGTCATGCTATAGATGATGACCCTTCTGTTAAACACCATCTAAATGAGACTAGATTTCTATTGTTCATATGAAAACAAGTGGTGATATAATTCAGAAATTGGTCACTCCCAGTTAAGACCAGCACTTTAAATGTACTAGCATTTCAAAGGTAAATGTGAGCAGTAACGTGCTATCCCCTGGTTGGCGGATTGAAGTGCCTACAGCTATGGTCTACATGTGAGTGATTGTCGAGAGTGAGAGGCAGGGTGACAGTTAAAGTCAACAATGAAGAATGATAGGATGCACCAAATGTAGGCTGTTTTCTGTTATCCGCTGTTTTATACAGCGAACAAGGTGACCCATTTGATGTCACCGCCTGACGGGAGATGTGGCGCGGAGGCACTTTGATGCGTGAAGTCCATGACTGTATGTAGGGAGCCCAAACCTAGATAGGAGGACGAATAGAGTCATCTGCCAAAATATTTGGCTCAAAAGCCTGACAACAACGCAACATTGGTTGGTTTAAGACCACTAGAACTATTCAAACTTTGAGGAGCAATCATCATGTTCTTTTCAACCCGTATGAAGGGCCAGTAGATTGTCTGTCAGGCCGCTATTCATAGACCACCCTGGTAGGAGAGATTCTGTGGAGGCTGCGCTTGCAGTCTCCAGTACAGCTGACTGGGTCACGCAACCCGTCGTCCAGTTCCTTCGAGAGGGTTCTATAGGTGATGCTCCCACCACCGCCATTCACTAAACCCGATGTAAATATGGCATATTATAGTAACACAGTTATACTTCCCTATCAAAACTCTAAAAAACGCATGAACTCCGGTGGTACACAGGAAATCCGTTTGCAACAACCACTCCAGAATGGTGGACCCAAGTTTTTTTGCAGTGCCTGCTAACTTCCGACATTTGCGGTGTCGAGGTGACACCAGTTTGACTGTCAAGGATAGAGAGTACAGAGCCGCGAACCGGCTGTCCTACCTCACCGACCGAAGACATAATCACTGCGCGTGGAAGACCTTCGGAGGCTGTCTGTGTTCGACCATCGGTGCCTCTGAAGCATCGCACGAGTCTAGTGGGAACACCAGATCAATAATAGAGGTATGCCAGCTGGTTTTCGGGAGATTTCATTCTTCCTCCACAGATCAATTGATCACACCCCACAGGTTTCGCTGATTAGGTTGTGTTTCGTATGCCAGAAGACCGTTTGCATCGTAGAGCCCTCTCCGTCAAGCCCCTTGCGTAATACGGAGAAGACCCAGGAGCTGCCAGTCCATGACTTGGCAACGAGGCATGAATGGTCTTAACAGTCACCGCAATCAAGTTAACTGTCGTCTCCTTGGATGGGGACCGCAGGATGAGTCAAACGGCTGCGGTTGCCAACAGGTCCACGATTTCTGCACAACCTGGGTGGTGCTGATGTGCATAAAAGGTAGACGTTCTAGACTGGTTGACCTAGAGCGACAGTAGCATGTCGACATAAAATGGATGACCAGTGGGGGTTTCGAACATAACAACTCAGCTGAACGGAGCGGTCCCAGTGAACATCTGATGATGGGCCACCACATATTCCTGTTATTTGCACTAATGCAAGTGAGGAGAATGTGCCGATATCCGCTAGCCTACGCTTCGAGGCCGATAGCTCTAATCAACCTAAACGCGCGGAGGAAAATCAGTGTTAGCCAGGGCACGAAAAAGGAATGTCATCTATCGCGACCCTGGATCAAAACCCGAAGATTAAGGACTTGAAGCCCAAACGCGGTCAAACGTTAAAAATAGTGCGGGCTTATTTAAAATTGATGTGCTGACAAACTTGGTTGAACAAATGCTGGCATTTATCAGATAAAATCAAAGAACCACTAGGCTGCAGCGTCTCACCAGTACAAAGCAGCTACGCAAACGTGAGAAACGATAACGGCTAAGATCTGTTACGCTGTTCAAGCTCAGAAAGATGCAATCTACAAGGTGAAAGCGGATTCGAACAACAAATCATTCCGGTTAAGCACATGCTTGATAGCGTTCAAACAGGATAAAACGTCCTGACACGTACCAACAGAGTGGTCTCACTGAACACCTTTCAAGTAAAGACTTCTCCCTAAAAGAGAGCACTTCGTCTCCAGAAAATCAGAAAACGTTGGCTATTTCAACCGATCTAGTTCCTAGCAAGGACCACCTTCCTTCCAAAACCGGGAGAGGCAAATAATCAGTCAAAACCTGTGTAGGCACAATGTGACGTGACTTTCCTACTTTAAACGTGGGTTTGTTACCTCTAAAGTATAATACTAGTACTGAGCTTGGCAGTGGAAATACCGTGGACAAGTTTAATCACACAAACAGTGTATTGTAGCAAGCCGTCAGACACCCGTGACAGTGAACTCTCAAGTGGTTGGTTTGGTTATTTTGATCCAGAGAACACACCGCAACATAGATGAGGCTCAAAATCGAATCAGCACCGTTTACACAGCCTCTGTAGTGCGGAATGGTATACCGTTGCCTTGGGCGAGATGGTTGAGGTAGATCATGAATGCCTGCTTCCATGTTAGTGTGCCAAGATGAAGCAATCATCACTCAAAAACAAAGTCAGGTATGATTCCGAAAGCAAACCAGAAGGATTGCGTACAAACGCTGGCGATGCGACGAAACCAATGTTAAAACGCAGACACACATTGTAGCACAACCGTTGACACGTTGACACACAGACAGGCCTGTCTGTTACTGTCTTTGTGGACCATCACCTTCCAACAGTAGGTGTTGTGGTTCGTTTGACAGTCGCAGACGCATGGCTATTAGTTCAGCTGTATTTTCTACTGTTCTATAGGAATGAGGACGTTTTATTCTTTAACGACAGGATGTAACTCATTCGCTTCACTAAACATCGCTCAACCTAAGAGACTCAGTAGGATAGATAATGGGTATTCTGAGAACAATAAAGCTATTGAACATACCCAATAAACAGTTTACGTTTTTACGCTACTCATAAGGTTGCTGAGGATTCTTCGACAGTCCACGACCGGTCTCGCCCCTCTTGGGACTCACCAGGTAGGCGAAGTTTCGAAGTTCCCGTCAACCTTATGTTCTACTTGAAACCAAATTGCACGAAATTAGCGAAATACACTCATTTGCAAACGAATTTGGTTTTGTGAGAGACTTACCTGGAACACCATAAACGAGAGATTCCAGGTGAGTGTTTCGTAAAATCAAATTCGTTTGCAAATGAGTGTATTCCACTCAGTTTACGATTTTCTATGAAACAACGGAAATTTTCATCGAGAAAAATTAAAGAAAATGTGTAGCCAGTAAGAACAGTTATACCTTACCAAGCGCAGGTAGAAACGGAAAACATTATGTAGAGGGAAGAAGTGCACCGGGAAAGTGCCACTTGATCTAATGCATCCTTATGAAAGTTGAGAAGCCCAGAATCATCATACTGTCAAGATAACTCTCCCTGAAATTCGGCGGGGACACTTTCAGCACTCCTTGAAATGTTAATGAACAGCGTCAACAACCGATATCGCATGGTCACACAAGCGTGCACTATAGATCGGTGATAAAGATCAGATATGACAATCCATTGATAATCATTCTCCCCGTTATCACACACTTCCGAAGCTTGAATAACCGAATTAGTGAAAACTAAGAGCAGTGGTCTAAGGTTTGTCACTTTCATAGGGAGTCGGTTGAAATATTACAAACAGGAGAAGTTAGAAGAGGTTATTTAACTGTCTGAATTCGGTCAATGATTTACTTAAAGTATTGCACATCAAATCATTAGCCGAATGAAGAAAGAGACTGACGAAGCATTGTAGAAGACCACAGAGCCTGAGGCGTGTGAAACTAACCAATGCACTAAGATATGGATCTCCCGTTTTGCCTACGGAACAAAAGGATGTTACATTACTTCGTCAAACATCATCCCTATTGTACCTGCTTTCCATTACTCTTGGCGAAAAAAGGAAACGAAAGGGAAAAAATCGCGTTTTCAGCGAGAAAATACCAGTATCGGGGTGAGTGACCAGTGTTGAATCATGCGATGAGAGGAAGCAAAACACCGACGAACCAAATAATATCAGAACAACAATGAAGTTAAGAAAATCTGTCAGATTCTGGGTCAACGAAGCCATACACAATCAGCAAATAGAAGGACGCACTCAGGATGGAACAAAGATCAAACACGACATCAAAAAACGAACCAGGATGAGTTCAAGTCTATGTTGCTTTTGTCTGGCTACTCGCCCTCGGCCTGTCCGATATGGGTGACCCTGAAGGAGCACTTAGGCTCCAATCGGCATAGCCCTCGGGGTCATTGTAGCACGCAAACCCGATCACCACGATAAGGTAGCAACATTGATCGGGGCCTTAGGACGTGAGTAAAATTGGGTTAACCACAGAGGCGTTCTACTTCAGGAGCGGGAATGAAGAAACGACGCAGGCCACATGAGAACTAGTAAAAAGTAAAGACAGGGAAACCAGCAGCTTTGAACGTACATCATTCGTTGGTACGTAGGCTATGAAGGTTCCGATCTTCAACCAAACGGACAGCGCTTCAACCTTACGCTGAATCAGGGATAAAACTAAGCTGCCAGATGGTAACCAGATGTGCAAGATATTTTGATTATACGAGTGATACAGGGGTTGAAATACACTTGAGTGGACATCCACGGTGATCGATCCATGAGTGGGTTCTACTGAATGTTTTGACAGGTTTAAATCCCAAACAAACAAGCCAGACGGACAAGAAAGCTACATTAACATCTGATACAGATGTACCATGAGTTTTGCTCTTCCTTAGAATCAGAGCAATGTGTAAGATCCGCCGGTTACGCACTTTCTTTTACTTTTCTTTCCCATAATAGAATCTGATTTCATTTGGTCACGTGTCCCTCATATCACTGATGATGCTATCCCTAGTTGTCGGGTGCAACATAATTAGTATGTTCCACCACAACAGGATTAGCAACAACTATATGTGGACAACCGGCATTCAACTATGCACATCAAACACATCGATTTTAAGACTTGGTCTTGTTCATGGCATGGGCACGCAGCGGATTCCAACAAGTCTTTGCAACTTCGGTATGCTGGGATAACGAGACAAGCTGAATATATCCTGGAAGTACTTCATGCCATACTGAGGTCCCAACTGCTTACTGATCTTAGGAATGGTGGAGCGAAAACAGTAGCCAAACAATGATAATCATTGATACTAACAACAAACGCGTTTAGCACTGGTGCCCTACTGTCACAAGCTCCTCTTAAATTAGGAAAACTCCTGATGTTGACATGACGAAGTATGAGTGAAGAAACCTAGTGCTTCTATATCACACATCCTTAAGTGCGTTCAATCAGTCAGGAGGGCACTTTAATGCGTCCTCAACCAAGTGTCAAGAAGAATACAACAGCGGAACCACTGAAAGCGGTTTTCTTTGTAAGTGATAACTGAGGGATCAACAACCATCGGCTTTGGTTAACCATGGCCGGATCCGGAAGAACAAAACTATCTGCGAGTTCGAAGGCTTATTGATCGAAGATACTCACTTGAGAAGTAGGACAGCCTACTTCAAAATTAGTCAAGACAGATACCATTACAACAACTGAAGTAGCACTGTTGGTTTGTCTCAAACATAGTTGAAGAATAGCTCCAAAATCAACCTGAGATACTGATCCCGTACAACTAGCTTCGATAATGTCTGTTAGTGTTATTCTTAGAAGTCTATCCAAAGTGGACAGACAGTGAACACAGAGCAACTAGTCCTGGGGTGAAGTTTGGATATATGTCCCAACAGTGTTGCTTCTTCACGCTGACTTACATTCTTCTGAATGGCGGGAAGGAAACTGCACCAGATAAATTAATGTGTAGTGAACACTAGAACACGTAGAAATAAAAGAACTACCGACTTATTTGTGGAGATCGCAAAGTTTTTCGGTAAACCCATTCCTATGAAGGTTTGCAACATTTTAGCTCAATTGTTTCGTTGTGCGGGCCGGTCCCACTAACACCTAGTGTTGTCGAGAAAGGCAGTCGGAGGTAAAGCCTTCTTGGAAGGTTGCGTCACTTGCCGAAAGTGCGACACTATAGGAGATTGATGCAGGGAATGTCCAAGGCGCGGTCCGACACTCTTATCTGGTTGATGACTTGGGTCTCCCTTTAGACGGTTAAATCCATGACCGCAATAATCCATATGACAAAGTCGTCTGTAAAGAGGAGCTGAAGTTCATTCATCACCAGCAGTTTATGCCAAAAGTCCACAGAGGAGCGAGTGCCAATCAAGCGCAGGACTTAAATGTTGCCACTTGGGTTGTGCCTATGTGCAAACTGCAATGCCTATGAATTATAACGCAGACTGTGATTCCCACCAATCCTTTTCATACGTTAGTCTAATGTGCTAAAACCAGGATTGCCAATCACAAAGGCTCAGGAACCCTCAAAGCACAGGAATATATAACCCACAAGTGACGAAAAAGCTGTAGGGCGATCTCATGAAGAAAGCACATGTGGTGAAGAACTAAACGAACTAATCAAATTGTCTCGCTATCCAAGAGACCGCTGGTTCGTCCCGTCATAAACGCCGCTCAGTAGGAAAATAGAAAGTCCCGTTGAACAAAATGCCTTACCTTACATCGACATTATAGCGTTTGCTAGCACCACTCAGTTCTGATACCAGTCTCTCAAGATGAACCTGGTCCAGGAGCTTCATCAGGGAGAAAAGCAATAAAATAGGAGGAGCTAAAACGGAAACACAGTCGATTATTTGGGTTAGAAATTGAAATTTCAAAACTTTGTTATAACCCAACTTGGACAGGTGAACCGTCTTACCAAACCACCTCTGCCTTCCCCGCTGAAAGGTCATCCGATCGTCAATTCGAAGCTTGGGCTCGAATTGTGATTGAATGGTGGCTGATGCTATATTGTTTCAGTGCCGGTTAATCAAAAGAGTGTTCAACTATTTTTTGAAAGTTTGTGGGTTGGTCCACCCGACTGGAAATCGAGAGGCTTTGGCGTCCCCTCCTAACAGAGATATAACAACTTTAAAGTACTGGTCATAGTTTACAAGGAGGGTATGGTGATTTTGCAGGATCAAACCTAACACTAAAAATGGGCTTGATAGAGCTGAGAAGCACGATCGAATGGGCTAGCGCTAGTAAATAATCCATGGGTACTGTCAGCAACGCTAGACAAGGACACTATTGCTTCACTAAAGCAGAACAATGTTAATATTTTTTTAAAAAAGTCTGGACGGAGAGAAGGGCCAATCGCTAGCCTATCAAAAACATCTCAGGCGTCCGCACCCCCAGTACTCAGCCAGACAATTTGAATAGAAACTGACAGCATGAGCACCACTAGGATCTGTAAGTTGCCATATTGTTCACTGTATTCAGGCAAGTGTATGGACTGTGACACAGCTCCCATACTGAGAGGCGAAAAGCACCAAGAGCACCGAAACTTTTCATAAAGTCCTTCATTTTCTTTTGCCATACAATATTCTGCACACTTCTGAGTTTCCGCCACTTCGAATCAGGCTCGGAAAACAATGCCGTGTTCGGTAGATTGTATACTGGCTACGTAACATATGGGCTAGTCACCTTAGCTTGCACCGCTGGATGTTGGCCCTGAGGGGAGTACCTACTTCTTCACAAAATACCTGTTTTCTGATAACATTCCGAATTCGCCTATTACAAACTAATCCGGTGATAGTTCTGAGGTATCGGTGCTCAAAGGTCCGCATGGTCCACGCGTAGTGACCAAGGGTCACCATACCGCCCACACCATAGCTTGGTACAGCACCTTTCAAGGCCCAATGATATACCCCTTTATTGTCAAAAGTTAGCAAACGCAATATTGGTCTCTGAGATATCCACGGTCGTGCTTGAACGTGTACTCCGGACATCTGATATGCGAGGCAGACGTGCTACCACCAGTCCACTGCAACAAAAAGGTCATAGGGCGTGTGCATGTATGCCGTTGCTACAACAACTGGTGGAACGTGAAGATGTGGTCAACACCCCTTCCCCGCCAGAATCCTGCTTGGTGATCTCACGTCCCGCTTCACGCGCCTTCGACAGACGAGTAAAATAAACGACGCAGAGTCGAGCTGCAACGGAAGTTAAACCGACTCTTTGATAGTGACAATAACTAAGGGTTCTGCACACCGCACTTCTCAGAGGTGATGAAGCCCTAGTTGGCAATCTGACGACCCTACCTGCGGAAGATCTGGAACGCAAACAGAATACCAGTGGAATGGAGAATCCCAACCGTGACCCCCTCCTTCTGAAGACATCGGTCGCCGGAAACTTCAAACGCTTCACACCGACTGTCCGCAGAGGCCATGTCTTACAATTTCACGACAATACTTACTGTAGCCTGGTACACGTGACCATCGATATGCCATTCGGGCATTTGAGATCTATGCATTTACTTCATCAGAGGCACTTCCGCCAACGCCAACACAACCACCGAGGAAAAAAATTTTTCCACAACTTTTTGAGGTGCAGGGAGCATATGCACAGTCTGCACGTCCCGAAACGTGGCTTTGCATTTGGAAGGTGCCAGGCGCATACTGGAAGATGGCATGGTGGTGTTCAGTTTAGTCAACCGAGATTATGCTGCGCCTTCGTATTCAGAGATGAGAATGATGTATGCGTCACCAAGATGAGCAAGTGTGGTTGACAGAACTGGTTGACTAGAAGAACCGAACGCACCCTTTCAGTTAAGGGATAACAAGATGGTTCGACGTCTGTATTTATGGCGTTGTCTAACACCTGACGGAGTGCAATGAGGTTAACGCAGTCGCTACCCGGTCGAAATCCCGCTTGATGCTAACAGGTCACGAATTCGCGTGCATCAGTAAGACGCCAAAGAAGCAGTGACACCAGAAGCCCTGTTACAACAAGAATTGAACTTACACCTGTGGTTGCCGTAGTCACTGTGTGTAGCCTTTCTGAAAATCGGCACTATTGCCGAGTCACCCCAATTATCTGCGATGGTCTCTTTATCCAAGGTAGAGACAAACAGGCTATAGAGACAATGACTGAGGAGTTCACCGCCACCCCTAAACAGATCACGTGGAAAGTCCTCAGGACCTGCAATACAATGACGCTTGAGTATAGATATACACTCGGATACTTCTGAGGTTGAAGGAGGCTCCATATTAATAAAGCAACTTCATGTTGAAGGCTAACATTCCTGATTGGAGGCAGGAAGTGGTCAACTGAATTGTTGTTCGAGATATTGTACCAGCGGACCAAGCGTCCTCCTTTGTTGGATATCAGGGGGCTATCCTGGTCCCTCATGAATTCGCTGAAAAGAAGCTTGCGGACGAATTAGCCTGAGAACTTTTTTGCCACTTTGCTTCTCATTTCTTCGGTCTTTGAGGTTCACCAAACTCCCAGGTCTGCACGGACACTCAGATTCACTTGGCGTCGGATGATTTATCGAACAGAGTTGCGGTTGGATTCAGGAATCTGTCGTATGGCCGCTAGAAATGTTTGGATGAAGTTGGCTGGGTCGTACAGTAAACGGAATTTCCGCCTCTGATATCTGCTCTCAGTGGCCGTTGATATCCGACACAGAAGCGTCCGGCAGGCGTGCAAAATGAGTCGGTTCTGAAAGTGTGGTTTGATTTCCGGGTCTACTAGCTTGTCGATGGCTAAGCGAGATGTGCGTCTTTTGCGTACACCCCAAAAGCGCAATAAAAACCAGCAGCGCATAGGTGCGTGGTTAGAGCGCACGCTGGCATTCCAGAGGTTGCACGCAGTGATCGACCCTGGCCACCGGCAACTGATGGCGATGTTGTCAATTTGAGTTCGAGAGTGTTGCGTCAGTGGGCACCACTTCGCCAAGCGATTTCCGCTGTTCCGGAATCTGATACTACAAAAGAACAGGGTGTCGTCGACACAAATCTGAAGTAGACGATTTCTGCTGTGTGTTTCTCGTAGCCAACCTAAGAGTATCATCTAATTGGGACTCAGCAGTGCTTGGTCTACCTACTGGGGTGATCATATCACCACCAAACACAACAAGGCCTGTTGTAAAAGAGCACCTAAAGCGTCATAGAAACTGTCTTTGACAGATTCAGAGCTACAGTCCGTCAGGGCACAAACAGACACAATAAACAGATTGCGATGGACCTCACTTTCACAAGATCCTCTCACAGACGTTGCCAAGCGAACCGCACAGAGGCAACTACCAACGAGTAGTTGAGACGCTTCCGCTCGGTCACTAAATACTGTATCCACCCGGCATATCCAGCAGCAGCGGCTCTTGGATCGCAAGAGGTACGCAGTCGGAAGTTGGAAGAGAACAAGGGTGCGCTCAGTTCAATTACGGTGCTTGGTCCCGTATAATTGTTTGACAGAAAGTATACGTTAATGCAGAGGGAATTCGGTGTAAGAGTAACAGTGACTTGTTGTCGTGCTTGCATCAATGTCTGGATATTAAAAGGTCAGTAGACCAACTTTCGGGGTCTGAAAACATATTTTGAAGTGTTCAGGGTTGTCAGTGAAGTCGGACGCAAGCGCTACAGCTGAATACTATTCACGGTGGAAACAGTCGTCAGTCTCAGTGCAGAGGGAATATTCAAACTTGAGTGAAATAGAGTACTAGGAAAAATTTGAAAGCGTAAGAAGAGAGGCTGTCGCATATTTTCTCTGTTATCTCTAAGCGTTTCGTCGTTCACTGTTAAATCAATTTTTCTCGCTTTAGCTAGCAATACCAGAATTTGGATGGATGAAGTCTATCCTCTGGGTCCTCAGTCTTTTCCGTCCCAATTCTGATTATCATCGCGCTCCATTCCTCGTCAAACACAACTGATGCATCGGCAGCAGCATGTTTTCGCTCACCAGCCCTGTTATATGCACCAAGTAAAGCGACTCACTTGATGAGACCACGCGACGGCCAACGTGACGTGAAAGTATCGTTAGTTTTACGTATCGATGTTGTAAGTGGGCTGGGATACCGCCTAAAACCGTAATATTTGGTGATCCAGAATTACATCCGTTATGAGGTTACTGTATACGGACTTTTGCGGACGCGAAGGAGCATACAGTTCACAATACGCTTGAGTTCGCAATGGCCAGTAATGTAAGACAAGGTTGTGCCCTTTCATTACTCCCCGTCAAATTCGTTATTAACGTATTGCTTCAAATCTATCCGCCTTGATTCTGAAACCTCGAGAATCAAAATGTTCCCAGGGCGTTCGATCACAGACATTATGTCGGTGGACGATACTGCTACCCTTTGATCAAACCCATCAAAAGAGCAAGCCACTTTGCAACACGGTTTGGGATGCGATTCACAGAAGCAAAGTGCTACCACAAGACTGGGGTGGATGAAACCCAAAAATCTGCTTGCAGACGAGCAAATCGGCCAGGTAGATCGATTTATATGACGAGACTGCTTCTCGAAAAGAGAAAGCCAGGGCAATTTTCGCTAACCTCCGATATTTATGGCACAAGCTTTACGTTAGTTTGTTTGTCAAGGGCAGGGCATACACTGCAGTGAGGCGATATCTGGAGCTTTATGGATAAGCAGCTTGGTCTCTATGCGCAGATGCGAGGTTGTCTGTGTTTGACCAGCAGTGTCTCCGAAGAACCGGCCAGGTCTAGTGGAAAAAATCACATTAGTAATGGTGAGGTACGGCAGACGGTTTTTGGGAAAGGGAACTCTCCAACGATTAATCAGCTACATAGGTTACGGTGG